TTGATATTTGGACTCGAAACGAGACAAAGCAAAGTATTTTTGCATTGTTATTATTTAATTTCTGTACTTGAATATTGTTAAACTCCCCAGAAAACCATCAAATAGAGCTATTCAAACTATCTTATAAAATTAAATTCATATTGCAAAATTTCTTGCAGAAAAATAAAACTTGCAATGTCAGATTTTTTTTTTTATATTGTGCAGCTCTGTTGTTCATACACTTAGTTTATTATATATATTTTTAGTTTAGAAAAAATGTATGTGTACAACTGGGTTTGCTTGTTTTAACACATTATTTAAATATGTGGCTAAAGAAATGTTTTTGATCAGTCAAGTAAAAAAAAATGCCCCAAAATGTTGCGTTTAGCCCTGTGTAAAAAGTCTTAAGTACTTGGTGAAACTTGCAGAAACCCTTTATTAAAATAGCTAGGCGATTATAATGTGCTGCGTAAGGTGTAACCCATATTAAAACTGGGCAGAATTTACAGTGTGTACACTTGCTTGGATAAAGCCTGCCTGAGCATATTTCTGTGTCATGATTAGAGAGGGATGAAAACAAAACATCACAGATGGTGGCGGAGCAGATTATTTCTGCATAGCTACTAAAAGCAGATTAAGACTGCAATAATGCTAATTCTGACCTAATCTGTATTATATGAATTGTGTTAGTGGCCACACACCAGTTCGCTGCCCCCTAGTGAATCAGAAATTAATTACTTTTCCTCCTGACTTCTCACTGAACAACAGCCATCCATAGATTATAACTTGATTTTTTAAAATGACTTTAATGACATTATCTTTTTTATATGTTGCTGTTATGGTAGGGTTGTCAGTTGCTGAATGTATCAATTGGGTATAGTGGAGTAAATAGGGTATGTAAGAAATATTTATTAAAAAATATTTCGAGTTGTGTAATGTCTATTACACTATGAGATTGTCTTCTGGGTAAATCAGTATAATACTTGGCAAAACCAAATAAAACCTGTTTATTATCTGATTGCATTGTCTATTACAATATTGTCTTCTGGGTAATTTCAAACTTGACAAAACCAAAAAAAAAAAAAACTGGTAATGAAGAAAATGATGATGATGTTAAGAATATTCTTGGTCTATTGAATGAATGTAATTAGACATACTGAATATACAGTGATGATGATAAAAACATTATTATTAACTCTTTCTTACAGATTTTTGTATTTTATTACACTGTTAACCACAGCAGGAGTACTTATAAATAATAAATTGTTTATTTTAAAACATTTTCATGTTTTAATATGGACTAAAAGAAATATTGATTTAAAATGTTCTGTTTCTTTATTATTTGTTGCTATTCCTTTACATTATGGTTACATTAGTTAAGTCATTTTACATTAACCAACAATGAATAGCTACATTTTGTTTAAAATAAAATTTAGTGTTAAAAAAATACCTGCTATGACATGTAAAGTCTTTGCAGTTTAATGTTATCTTGGGTACAAAAAGATATTGAAACTGCTATGAGGACACTTTTTAATAACTGATCAAAGCAGCTTTAGTAATATTTGTCAGATGAGAATTTGATTTTGTCACACACCAAAATCCAATTTGAGTTCACTGAAAATTAACTGATGCATCAATAAACTATCTAGTACTGTAATGCATGCTTTTAAACTTTGGTATTTGGAACCATGATCATAACGATGATCGATTTAGTGAAAACACATTGGTATCAGACAGTTGTTGATTTATTAAAATCAGAACATTAAAATAATTGTTTATTTATGTGAATGTGTATTTAAATATTTAATTTCTATATATATATATATATATATATAGATATATATATATATATATATATATAATTTGTATATATATATATACACACAATTAATATAATAAAATAAAATATAATTAATATAATATGCATAATTGGAGAACATAATATTTTTCTTGGGCAGCACGGTGGCGCAGTGGGTAGCAAGAAGTTTGCTGGTTTGAGTCCCCGTTGGACAAGTTGGCATTTCTGTGTGGAGTTTGCATGTTCTCTCAGTGTTCGTTTGAGTTTCCTTAGGGTGCTCCTATTTCCCCCACAAGTCCAAAGACATGTGCTGTAGGTGAATTGGGTAAGCTAAATTGTCTGTAGTGTATGTGTGTGTGAATGAGAGTGTATGGGTGTTTCCCAGCGATAGGTTGCAGCTGGAAGGGCATCCGCTGCGTAAAACATATGCTGGATAAGTTTGCAGTTCATTCCGCTGTGGCGACCCCAGATTAATAAAGGGATTAAGCCGAAAAAGAAAATGAATGAATATTTTTCTTGCGATAATTAAATTAAAGGCTGCTACATCTGAAAGCATATAAAATTACCACATTTTATAACACGTTTTCGCTCCAGACTGACTTCATAACTGCAGTCGAGTATCATCTTGGCATCTAAAAACATGAGACTCCGTTATTAGGAATGTATTTTTTGAAAGAGCATCCTCCACCATGTTAACCTAAAAAAACAACAAAAAAAAAACAACTGTCATGCCAACTTCATTCTTACAAGCTTGCAATACTTGCCCTGCCTCTGAGAGCTTCTGATTGGTCAACTACTTTGAACCTGACAGAGGTGCTGACTGTAAAAGTTGACTTGGTGTATTAAAAACGTACTGCTCATGTGTAAAAGTTTGCATAATAGCCGTGCACATTGGTCAAGCACGTTTATGTAAAAAAAAAACTGAGTAAAAGTAGTGCATTCCCTGTGAATGACACCTAAGGCACACAACTAGAACTGCTAAGTAAATCGAAAAATTATTAATATCCTAAAACTAGTATATGCAATTTAAAATGTGCAAAATGAATTAAATTAATTTTATGTGCCAAGCATTTGTGTGCTACATGGATAGGTTGTTTATCCAAATTTGACCAATCAGATGGGGGTTTTCATCCCTACTTCTCCAGCATGTGCTGTTAGGTGAACCTGCAGCTGAAAAAAAGAAATGCTAATGCTGGGAGACGAGAGGAAAATGACAACGGCCAATAAAAATTAGAATCAGATTTTCAGTCATTTGTGGTGTTTTAAAGTCTAAAGGTTAGATATTTTTTTACATAAGCTCAAAAAATAATTTATTATCTGTTTATTTTAATATGATCATACTTTAATATATATCTTAAAGTTTCTGATAGAATGTTATTTTTGAAAGTCATAATGTAGGAAGTATTGTTATCGCAACACTCACCAATATCGCATATAGCATATTTTTTTATATCGTGCCGCACTAAATTCCATAGTATTCTAAGCAGTGCGTTATTATATACATTCCATAGTATTCTAAGCAGTGCGTTATTATATACATTCCATAGTATTCTAAGCAGTGCATTATTATATAAGAACAATTATAATAAAAGATCTTAGAACAACGATATGTTTTCATAGTTGTGTGATTCTTAGTAACGATGTTTTCAATGAAAGCGATTAAATCTTCTATTTATTCAGCCGCTATAGGCATTTTCAGTTGTATTGGAGCATCTGTGCGAGATGGCCTTCAGGTGGAGATCTACTTCTAATCACAAAACTGCTTCACTGACAAAATATGCAAGACAATCACAGCTTTTGCTTATTCATGATTGCACTTTCATTTCAATTTAGCATGCAGCACTACTATACATATATTTTTGTTGTTCAGAATCATGGACATTCAGCAAATATTTTCATTTATTTATTTACTGATAATGAGCTGAGTAAACGTACGAAATCTCTCCCTTACTTTAGTTGGCACTTAATGAAAAACAGAAATATTCCACTACACAAGGTGCTGTGCAAATTTATGCTTTTATAATTGCATGTTGCACATATAGAGTCACTCACACACTTTTCCCTGGTGTATTTATTGCGTAAAACCTTTACATTTCTATTTAACCACTGCCACTTCAGTGCACAAATACCTGGTCAAACGTTACTGTAGGAAAAAGTTACAAGCTACAAGAAGGAAATGTAGTGACTGTGGAATGAATTTCTCCATTATATCCTATTTGATCTGCAATTTCTGTGTGCTCAGCTAGATCAAAAACACCAAGTCATATTTTACTGTATTTTCAGCAGCCTGAGGGATGTGAGCAAAAGTGCCAATCTTACTGGTCAGCTAGTTTTTAACACGGTGTGTTAAACTCCCCAAAAATGAGCCCCGAACACTTTTATGCCTATCGTCAACAATAATTGGCAATGATAATTGTTCCGCTGTGTTCCCGGCTGCATGTTCACCAAAGCACTTTAAAACTCTGCGTGAAATCAAAATTACAACAAGATTTTAGTAATCTTCTATTAAAGTAGCACAATTTGCTTTCATTTTGTGTCTCTGTTCTTCTCTGTTGACGTCAGTTTGACAGCTTTAGTCACAGTATTCTTAACCACACCTCTCTCACTGTTGTTATTAGGGAATGATTTGGAAAAAGAAAGCCCAGCCTCCTACTTAATTTTATATTTCACTTAGAAGTACATTAAAAATACTGAAATAAAAGTCTCAGCTACTTTCAGTTTACCTGGAAAATGACAGCTTGTTTTAAAAAAACATTCTTGAGATTGCTTCTGTGGCACAGCCTTTCATTTTGTTCACAGAGAGACATGTAATATTTATGAAACTAAAATGTTTGTATGATGTAGAGCAATAATATATCATTTAAGCCTGCTATAGTATCAGATTTCCATATACAGTAGCACACTAGCTGTGAATCACTTTGTTATATTATAAATTACAGAAAAAGGTGGAAAAATTAGATTAACTTGGTGTTATTCTCGCAATAAAAAGTTATATTACAATTAATAAAAAGGTCAGACAAAATACCAACTATATTTTGAAGTGTCCATGATAACATGATTTCTGCTCTTTGTTCATATTCATATTTATGGCTGCAGTATATTGTCTTAATAAAGACTACATCATGTCTAATGATTAAACCACTCAATCATATGATCAAGTAAAAAATGTTACACACATATTTACTTGGTAATAAATGATATGTGCTTGGTTTTTGTTTTCTAGACAAGTGAAGTTACCTGGAGTTTCCTGAGCCAGCTCTAGTCTACAGCATCTCCATCATCAAGGTGAGACAAAGTCCAGATACACAGTAATAGAAATGCCGATTCAGAAGTGCACACAAGTGTCTACTGGATTTCTGATGTGTTTTGTCAACGTTTGACCACACGGGGGTGTCAGTGTATCAGTGCTGCTCTGAATCATGCTTTCAGCCGTAGCCATCGCACACAGATCCACAGTTCAGTTTTGGTAATGCAGATCATGGATGAGGTCTCCTTGTGCTTCTCAGCTGATAATGTGTACACAAAAGTATATCTAATTTGTAATATAATAACTGATGTGTTTGTACTTGAAATGAAGCAAGGAAAGGAAAGCTACTGTCATTATGACTGTGATTTTTGCTTGTGTGTGTGTGTGTGTGATGCTTTTGTTTAGGATATGTCTTTATAGTTATTAGGTTTGTTTATTAGGATCATGTTCACATTTTCACGAGAATTTATGATATTAAAATATAAATTAAAACACTAGAGCAGGTAGTTATTTCTTTTCTTTCAAATATTGTTTTTATACATGACAAACTCAACACAAACAGTGCTTAAAACAACAAGCACGATAAAATAAATTGTAATAAAAAGGTTGAATGAACTGAGGAAGAACATATATGGCTGTTGCTAACATTTTTGGGGAATTTAATGCTGTATAATAAATAATAAATGTATTTCAATTGGTGGCTGTCATTTTAGTTTGGACAATTATAAATGTAAAGTTTAAAAGCTTGAAAATGGAGATATCTAAAATAAAGAGGTTTTTATTTGCATATAGTGAAGGACTGATTAAAATCTAGCAATCGAAATCTGAAAATATGTAAAATAAGCAGTTTTATTTTTATTTTTAAACACTTTATTAGCATAATTTTTCATTTGTGTGCATAGGCTATGCATTTTAGTGGTCTGTGTCACATTAAGTTTTAAAATAAAAATCACATGTAGTTTGACATTTTACTTTATTGTTTGAAATAACTAAATATAAAAATATAGGCATTGGTATAGGTATAAATAACGGTCCGATGCCATTTGTCATAACATAAATTCATGAAAAAATTAAATAACATACTTGTTCTAGCCTGTATTTTGTTTAACTATAAAGAAATAGGACATAGAAAATTTTAATTGTGAAGCCAAGTTTAATCTGAATAGCAATAATAACGATTTGAAAAGGCAGTTAATTAGTATCTTGAACTCTAACTGTGATCTTTAAATAGTCTTTTAAAATGTAATCAAATGATTTTTCTAAAATTCTTTTTCTTTATCTATAAAGGTAAAATGCATTTTAATCAGTTTTTTTTTTTTTTTTGCTCAGAATGTCTTTGAGGACTTACAAATGTACAAGGAAAAAAATTAAGATGCATTATATTTCCATTGCTTTGTAGATTCTAGAAAAACACTTTTAGTCTGTGACACATGACAAATTGGAACTACTATCTCTAAAGCAGAGATGCCCAAAGTAGGGCCCTGGAGGCTAGAGTTGGACCACTGTAACCCTTGATTTGGCCCACCATCCCATTTGAGAGGAGAAGTGAGTTGGATGGAGAGGGTTGGTACGAACGCCTTTAACACAGAGATCGTAATTTCTAATTTGACGTAACCTTGTTTGTTTTTATTGCTGAGCGGCAAAAAAGCAAACTGAAATTAAATGTTTCAATTGAATGTTGTCAATGAATCTTAAAATGTACAGTAAATATGTCACTCGACCAATAGAGGACTATAAAGAGAACATCGGCAAGTAAATCAAGGCAAAAACAAGTGTATTTCTGTTATAAATGTCTTTTTTCCCTAAGATGTTCATTATTTAATGTAAAAAAAAGCTTTATTAGTTAATATAAAGCAGTGCTTTCTAGTCGTTTTTAACATTATTAAATAAACTAGGAAGTTACCCAACCAGCCTATATTTACCTGTGGCCCACTAACCTTAATCTAGTTTGAGATCCTTCATAAGAAAAAGTTTGACCACCCCTGCTCTAAAGCCTTTACAGCCAATTTGAGTTTGTAAAACTAATTTCTTTGAAGTACATTGATATAGTGATATAATGCATAAATGCATCTACACAGTGCAGCAGTCTTTTTTACAGTAGTGCCATACATTTAGTTAACCACAGGGTGTCAGTACAGGACTTCTCTGCAGACACTCTGCTTTTTGTTTTCCACTGTTTCCATCTCCAGTTTCATTCTGCTCAGTCTAGACGGGACGAAACCCCCGACCAGATTCCTCCTGCCTTGCATCAACCAACTGACTCAGACTGTGGGGGGAACGTATCGGGGTCTCGTTTGGAAAAAAACATGCTTTAGGGAAAACACCTTCTGAGACTGCAGTCTGAATCTGACACAAACACTCCGTCTGGTTTTATCAACAGATGACTTTTGGAGACAGACAGGAAATATACTGTAGTGGCTGTGGTGATTTCTGTTTTTGCCATTTCCCTGTCAGTGACCGAGGACATGCACTATTCTCAGACTAAACAATAAACCGTTGGCAAATTTCACCATGACTGTAATAACAGATTACATTGCAACATAACAGCTAGCATGTGACATCATTTGGTCCATTAAAACATGCAGCACATATCAATTTTAGGGCAAGATGCTTAATATTTACATTTTTCTCATTGATATGTGCATTATCAGGTGACTGGGCTTTTCAAAGCACCTGTAAGGCACTCACATGTTCCTCTCCATGCACCAGACACTTTCTTATAAATACTCCATGATTCTGGGAAAACAAAGCAAACAGAAATTAAAACATGCTAAGCTGACTTGGACATGGTATGGCATCTACACTCACCGGCCACTTTATTAGGTATGACTTACTAGTACCGGGTTGGACCCCTTTTGCCTTCAAAACTGCCTTAATCCTTTGTGGCATAGATTCAACAAGGTACTGGAAATATTCCTCAGAGATTTGGACCATATTAACATGATAGCATCACACAGTTGCTGCAGATTTGTTGGCTGCACATGATGATGTGAATCTCCTGTTCCACCACTTCCCAAAGGTGCTCTGGTGACTGTGGAGGTCATTTATGAAAAACCAGTCTGAGATGATTTCATAAATTCACGGTTTATGACATGGCATGTTATCCTGCTGGAAGTAGCCATCAGAAGATGGGCACTTTTTGGTCATAAAGGGATGAACATTGTCAGCAACTATAGGCTGTGGCGTTGACACAATACTTTTTTGGTACTAATGGGCCCAAAATGTGCAAAGAAAATATCCCCCACACCATTACACCTCCATCACCAGCCTGAATCGTTGATAGAAGGCAGGATGGATGCATTCCATGCTTTCATGTTATTGATGCCAAATTCTGACCCCATCATCCAAATGTTGCAGCAGAAATTGAGATTCATCATACCAGGCAACGTTTTTCCAATATTCAATTGTCCAATTTTAGTGAGGATGTGTAAATTTTGGCCTCAGTTTCCTGTTGTTAGATGACAGGAGTTACTATTGCCTTTTTATCAGCTTTAACTAATCTGGCCATTTTCCTCTGAAATCAACAAAGCATTTGCTCCCACAGAACTGCCGCTCACTGGATATTTACTCTTTTTTTCAGACCATTCTCTGTAAACCCTAGAAGTGGTTGTGCGTGAAAACCCAGTAGTTCAGCAGTTTTTGAAATTCGCAGACTAGCCCGTCTGGCACCAACAACCATGCCACGTTCAAAGTCACTTAAATCATCTTTCTTACCTGTTTTGATGCTCAGTTTGAACTGCAGTAGATCGTCTTGGCCAATGTCTACATGTCTAAATGCATTTAGTTGGTGCCATGTGATTGGCTGATAAGAAATTTAGGTTAATGAGCAGTTAGACAGGTGTGCCTAATAAAGTGGCCGGCGAGCGTATATATATATATATATATATATATATATATATATATATATATATATATATATATATATATATATATATATCTTTCTGGTGATTTTGTTTAAGTCATTTTGAACAAAAGCATCTGCTTATGTAAAATGTGGGTCTTTTGGGGTTTTCACAAAGAGTTATTTTTATTCTCATGGGAAGAAACATCTAACATGCACCTTTTATTGCATATTAAATTGTCTTTACACATTTAAATTAAAATGCATATATTTAAAGGTGGTTTTCTCAAATTTTTTTAAATATATATACAGATTTTTGTGCTAGACGTTTATGCAAATTTAATCAAATAGCTCATTTGCACATTCAAACCACATTTTAATACCGTTTTAATACTAAAAGAAAATGTTTGCAATTGTCAATGTAGTCAAGCACCAGGAAAAGTAGTGTCTGGCTATTTTTTTAATTCTATTTATCAGCAGTGTCTTGAATGCAGATAATAAGAAGAAGCAGTGCTGAAAATAGCACCAGAACATGTGATATTATAATTTTTTTTATGTTTGTTTTTTGGCAGGCTGAAGAAGGTTGTTATTCAACAGATGCATGTGTGGTCAATAACCCACACTTAAGTTCTTTGCTCTGTCTGTGTTGTGAAAGAGATGAACATGTTATGAAAGGCTTCTGGAGAGAGAGACTCTTCTAAAAAATTGCCGGGTCATGATGACTGTGCAAATTCGCGTGAGCGGGCTTTCAAAATATGAGTCAGCAGCTCAGCTCTTTTTCTTTTTTTTCCCCGCTGTTACTTCGCAGCAGAGCGGATGAAATTTTTCAACTAACCGACAATACACATCCTTTTCATATTCCTCAGGTACATGACAGGTGCCGGTAGTTGTTGCATAAACAATGTGTCCTTCCTAGCAGAGATGGCAGATCTCTTGGGATTGCACTCCTTTTGTAACAGCTTATATCACTTCCCTGAAGCTCCACATGGCAGGGATTATGTAGCAGCTTTTATGGTGTGCTATTCACCTTTTTTCCAACACCACATGATGCTCTGCTTGAATTATGAGAGTAACTTCGGTTCAACTGCAAGCAATCAGTGAAGTATATTAAATCACTGGGAGCAATGAAGTGGCATTTTTATCCTCACAGTCAATACATCCTACATTAGGAATAACTTAAAAAGATTTTCACACAGA